TTGGTTGTGTGTGGTGTGTTCTGTCGGTCACGGCCCCAAAGCCATTAAAATGGAGCGATACAAGGATAACTTCACAGCTGCTGGCTATACCACCCTAGAGGCTGTGGTGCATATGAACCAGGAGTAAGTACTCAGCGATATAACAAAAAAACTGGTAAATCTGGATTTAATCGGCCTCTTTTGCTTTGTGCTGCATATCATTACACTCATTAAAGGAATGGAATGCCTTTCATTTGGATGGAGGATAACTTTAAAATGCCTCCACAATGCCTTCACTTATTTAATTAAACATTTCTGTACATCTGCCTTGCTTTTGCTGTGTTGCTTGCGGTTGACTCTTAATATTTTTCTCTGCACCGGCATCTGATCCACGGTTCTCAGCCCCCTGCTTCTTCTCTTGCCTTCACAGTGACCTGGCAAGGATCGGGATCACTGCCATCGCGCACCAGAACAAGATCTTGAGCAGCGTTCAAGCAATGCGCACCCAAATGCAACAGATGCACGGCAGGATGGTTCCCGTCTGAGCCTGTACTGAATAAACTCAAAACTCTTGAAATTAGTTTACCTCATCCATGCACTTTAATTGAAGAACTGCACTTTTTTTACTTCGTCTCCTCGCCCGTCGAAATAAAGGTCTGCAGCGTTGCTTGATGTACAGATTGCGGAAACCGAGCGTGTGTGTTGGGAGGGGGGCCTCCAGAAATGACAAGCCGTCATTTTAAACCAGACCTGGAACAAATTGTTTCTTGGAACATACTTCTCTGTTGATCAACGATATGTAAAATACATGTATCTATATAAATATAAAGTCACAGTCAAGTTTTGATGCTATGTTTGCTGCCAGATACTGTGCTTAAAAAACAAAAACAAAATTACTTTCCTTCTCCCTGTGACCTGTAGGATTACAACCATAGTGTTTTATTTGTGGGTGAAACCACCGTTGTGCATCTTTCACTGGAATGAAGAATCTGCCCTAGGATATTTTTTGCAGACTTGATGCATCACTAATACCTTGCAGAAACCTCAGTGAGAATATCATTTGGCTAATCAGTGCCTGTTGATTAGTGATCTACCCATTTACGGGCTTGAGACATGAAATGACCCACCTCGTGGATTACTGGGCAAAACTGGACTTCTGGGGAGATTATTGGCTGTTGTGCCGTGCTGAATCCTACCACTTAAAGACATTTTGTGAACATCTTGCTAGTAGTCAGCTGTGACAATCGTGGCTGTGGAGCTTTCAGACTTCTTTTCTCTTTCAAGAAATGATTCTCTTTGCCACACGGAGAAGGTCAGTGGAAGTACAGCGTCCAGCATGTTCATGGTGCTTTATTTCTTAAACTGTGCTAGGATTTCATCACTGTTGGGGGAAAAAAAAAAGTGCTGTAGTAAGTATTACTTGGGGTTCCCAACTGGTTTGTATGAACCTGTGCTGGTTTCCCAGACTAATTGCTTGGTGTTTCCCATTGTTTGCTCTATCTGATGACAGTGAAAATTGCTCTGTTTCAAAACCTGGTCTTGCTCTCAAGCTGTTGTGTGTTAGGATGTGCAGACAAGGTGTAGGAGTGTGTCTTGGGGCTCACTCAGTTCAGTGCTAAGTACCTGACCCCACTTGGCAGCGAGAGCTGTAGGGATGCCCTTATTTTTTGCGTGGAAAAACCCACACATATGGATCTCATAGAATAACCTTGTAAAGTACAGATACTCAGACATGGACCAAGAAGAACCAAGGACTTTTCCTGCCCTCTTACGAACAACAGTAGAACCCATATTAGTGCTTTAGAAAGATCAGACTCAATTGCTGTGTCAGTGGTTTTAAGGGAGGGGGAGCAGAAGGAAATGGGATTGTGCATGCAGCCTTCCTGGTTTTGCAGTTTGGGTGTCGGGCATGGTGATAGCTCTGTGTTATGCAGCAGTGTTACACTTCAGACACGGTGATCCAGTCTCATCAGCTGTGGGAACCACATTTGCTTTTGAAACCAGCCCCGTAGGCTGGATTATCAAGGCAACTGTGGGTGTGAGTGCCGGCTGTAGGCTGCATGGCTAAGGTCTAAGCGCCCCTCTGCAAATATGGCAAACAAGATGAAGCATGACCTGCTTGAAAAGCTGCTCTCCAACTCCTCTTAAGAAATAGGAGAGTTGAGTGAATGAAAGCATCTAGGTGGAGGTGGCTGCTATAGGAATGTGGTTGTCCTCATTAGGTCACATCGGGTTACAGCTTTATCCGGTAAAGCTCTGAACACATTTAGGCTTGTATTTTATTTATATTAAAGCTTTTATTACTCTTTCTTAACAGTGTATAAATTACATTCCTTTTAAAGTCCTTTCCAGGAGCAAAGTGATGAGATGACCTTAGAAAAGAGACAGGATCAGGCCCACTTATGCTGTGCTGGGTAGGAGGAGGATTTTCATGAACATCCTCTAGAATAGACATTTAGTTTCATCCAGGCACAGTGTCAGAAAGGTGAGATTTATATTTTGATGGCGCTAAGACTGGGTCTTCCATCTATAATATTTTGGTCCCACTCCACACCTGACAGCAAATTCAGAAATGATTTTGTAGCTTTATATGTCAGATTTTTTCAATAATTGCATTTATTCTAAATGCAAACCAGCTTACTCAGTTGGACAAGTCACGCTTACTGTATCGTCACTCACATCACTTTTTGTCACTTTTAACAATAACTTGCTGATTTTAACCACTAATTTTCCCTCACCCCCAACTTTCTCATAAAACAACTCGTTCAGAATATGGGATGCTGAATTTGGATCCTGTCAAGTCATGACAGCTTAGTAAAAACTGTTCTGCAGTATTACTTATAAAAGCTTTTCCATTTCAAGAAATTTAAGATTTCTTTTAAAAAACTACTTAAACCAGCACGTTTTAATGTCATTTTGCCAGGCAGTATAAGAAGTGGTTACTCATTTTAAAGACCTGATACTTGTACTTTCAGCAGCAAAAATTCTTCTGCTTCTTAAGTGCAGAGATACTTTGAATTTCCTCTTGCTGTAAATCTGTTGCATTCTGTTGAGATTGTCTTTCTACTTAAAAACAAAATACACCCAACTTTTTGGCCAGTTTGTAAAATTGCTTTCTTGGAGTCTAGTAACGGTAATTTAAAACATGGCAATATTTTCCACACAAAATGAAAAACTGTGTCCCTATAGAATGAAAACTGTGAAGGCAGCTCAGATGCCAGGTTTTCAGAACTGCCATCGGTACTTGTGTTCCCTGTGATAAAATATGGCCAGTGAGGGCACATCCACTTGAATGTGATTTTAGCTGGAGGAGAGCAGGTAAAAAAAAAATAGGTGGCACATACAGATAGATAGATTACATATCTGTTTATAAGATATGTCATGGACACAAGACTTTGAAATAGTGTGAGGGAAAGAAAAGGGAGAAGGAAGGCAAAGAGCTGCTGTTGTATTTGTCTCGCTGGCCCAAGACGGCGGAACCAGCCAGCGAGAGCGTGGCAATGCGCTGCCGCCTCCTGCATTTGCCGTTCAGCCACCCTTTTGTGCGAGAATTGCGTCTTGGCCTACTTTCTCCTCTGTTCTTTAGGAAACCCTTCTCCTCTCTCTGGGGAGAGGTGTAATTCCATGAACCTGCTGCCGTGTCACCTCTTCACCGGGGCAGAGATGAGTTCAGGTCTTTTCCTTTGATGTGAATCAGCAATTGCACCAGCCAAGGAGGGCTGGCTGCCTACAGCAGCACTTCTGCTGGGAAATCTAAGAGGAGGCATGTGGGCAGGGGTGCGTGTCTGTCTTGTTGCATGTTGTTTAATATATTTGTGTTTCCTTTTTGTACAGGGAAATTAGATTTTGCTTTCACGGCCTCATAGCCCGTCCTATTGATCCTATTGACCACGGAGGAACATAGACTAGACATGAAGCCTTCTGGATCCACAGTTGCATCTTTCCTAGCACTGATTCTGGAAAACACACGCTGAACAGTCATCGGTCTCTGAAGAGAGCATAACTTTTACTTTCTGGGGTTTTTTCCTTGCCGCCCGCCTGTTTTTTTTCTTCAATGAGAGATAACTAACTCGATAAGACTCAGCACCCAGTTGTCACCTGAGGAATGTACTGTGTCGAAGCCCTGCAGGCTTCTGGATTTTTTTTTTCCTCTCCTTCTGCTTTCTCTTCCTACCTGCGGTTTTATTTATATATTTTGTTATTTTCTCTCCTCATCCCCCTGGCTGTCACTGCTGCATCTTGGACGAATGCAGGTGACGGAGCACTACACATCTTACCATGGACGCCAGGCCAGGTGCCGCAGCAAAGAACCCAGTTCCTGTGAGCTGCCTATATACGTTGCTGAAATGACATTTTACACAAAATGTGCCATTGCAGTGATATAAATATATTTTTTTTCCTTGAATGGATAATGGATTATTATCTCCTCTGAAAGGTGCGTATGTGTGCTTGTGTGCGTGTGTTTGCGTGCGAGTCACCTCGTGTGTAGAACTGCCTGTGAATGTGCCGAAAACATCTCTGGAAGCGCAGGAGTCCCCTGTCATATGAGAGCAGGCCGATAGCTCGTGTCTGCAACGGTAGCAAGAACAAACACATTAAAAAATGTTTAAATTTCTGTATCTATAAGTGTATTTTTTAGCTGCCACACTAACCTTAATGAGTAGTTCTGCAGCCTGAAACGGGCAATTTCAAGTTAGTTTGGGAGTTGTGGATTATAGGATCCATAAGGGTGCTAAAGATTTTCTTAAGTGGTGTTTATTCGTACTGATGCCCTGTTCATGATCAAGATCAACCAGTTTCTCAATGGCAAGGTGATGGAGGCAACACCTGCATTATCCATCCACTGGTAACCCTGAACTGAATTCTTAAGTAGCCTTTTTTATCTGCAAAAATAGGGTTTTAAATGAATGCGAACAAATATATGCAATTCTTCCATTCACAGAAGCACCTCGCTCTGTGTGCAAGCTGTGAAATCTTGTAACGTTATAATCAAAACACTTCATTTGCTCCCAGCACAGTTAAGGAACAAAAATGCAACAAGACCTATAAGGTTACAGTAGTTAGGAAGGGAGTTGTGAAATGTGTCCTGTTCCTCGTGGGGGTGAAGAGCTGGTGAAGGGCAGTAGAAGGCACTCTTCCCTGGCCCCAGGAACAGTGCTGCGGCTCACTGGTACTACCTAGAAAAGCTTTCTGTGTTTGGAGAGTTCACTGTTACGTAGCGTAAGCTAGTTTCTGAGTGGAGCTGTGCGCTGGAGCCCGGGGCATGTACGGCCGCTGGGTATTTGGAGCGGGGCAGGTGATGCTCCCCGCTTGCCTCCTGGCCGCAGCGGGCTGGCGTCTGGCGCGGTACCCGAGCAGCACGGCAAACTGCCACGGGACAGGGCGTCGCTCCGGCAGGCGTGGG